TATATATATGTGTGTGTGTGTGTATATGTGTATATACACACACACACACATATATATTTATATAAATAAGGAGCTCTGGTAGCATAGTGGTTGTGAGTCAGGCTGCTAACGTCAAGGTCAGCAGTTTGAAACTACCAGCTATTCCTGGCTCTATGGCACACCACCACCACCATATATATAAAGAGAAATTTATTTCCAAGGGACTGGTCTACAATTATAGAGTCCCAGGTATCCAGCATAAGAGAGAGTCCCTCCTGCATGTCCATTATATTGGGAGCAGGCCACACCCTCAAGGAAACATCCCTTCAGTTGATTAGCTGCTCATAGCCATTCATCATAGAGTTAACTATGTCTGTATTAGGCTTCATCACCAGGAGAATAAGCACATCCCAACTGCTAAACCACTGAAAATCCTGGCCTAGTCAAACTGACACAGAACCCTAACCACTACAAAAACCAAGTTAGAATCCCACTTAATATTTGCCTGGTTAAGTGCCATGGAGTCGGTTCTGACTCATAGCGACCCTATACAGGGTTTCCGAGGCTGTAAATCTTTACGGGAGCAGAAAGACTCCTCTTTCTCCCACGGAACAGCTGGTAGTTTCGAACTGCTGACCTTGTGGTTTGCAATTCGATTTGTAATTACTACGCTACCAGAGCTCCTTACTTAATAACATATGTATAAGTAAATTCCAAGTGTATTAAAGAACTATTTTTTAAAAAATACATACATATACACTAAAAGAAAATGCCAGAGTTATATTTATTTTGAGGCAAGGTAGACCTTTGAAGCATAAAATCAGGATACCTTTAGGGAAAAGACTATCAAACATAACTGGCTAAAATTTTTATAGACAGAAGTACCATTAAAAACTTAAATGCCAAACAATAAACTAGAGGAAAACAATTGCAATGAAACAAAGAGTTCATATGCATATATTTCTGCCTCTTTGAGGCAAAAAGTGAAAACAATCCAGAATGAGTTGAAAAATGTTAGTTTGATTCTGATTCACAGTGATGCTGTATAGGGTTTCTGAGATTTTAAAAATCTTTGCAGGAACACAAAGCTTCATATCCCATGGAGCAGCTGGTGGACACCAAACACCAACCTTGTGGTTCACAGTACAGTGCTTATCCTGTGGAGCCACCAAGCAAAGAAAAAGAATAGGCAAGTCTTTTAAGAGGAAGTACAAAAAGTCAATAATTAACATTTTCAACCTCAGTAAGACTCAAAACAAGGAAGACATCCAGCAAGATGGCAGACTCGACAGGCGCACCAAACATGGACCTTCTACACCAAAGATGAGAGACCAAATGAAACAGATACAGATGACAATCCTGAAACCCTAACTTCAGAGGAAAGGTTAGAGAAGTGGATTGAGTGCTTGCTGGGAGGAGAAGCTGAGCAGGGATAGTGAGAGAGGGAGACTGACTCATGAGCGGCTGGCCAGACGCAACACAACCATCTTGAACTTTTGTGAACCGGTTTGGCAAGAAGGTGGCCTGGCAGAGCAGATTCATAGGTAAGAGGAAAGATGCAATTCTTTCTTTTTCCCCAGGCTCTCCTGGTGACCAGAGGTGTGGCCAGTTCCTACCCTCATCCATCCCCAATGTGGAATGAAAAAATACAAAGTAAGCCTAAGAATTATGTGGAACATCCTGAAGAGGAACAACTTACAGGTGAACAGAATTCCAGAACAGGAAGAGGCAATGTCAATGGCACAGAGAAAACTGTCTTAGAACTGTTGGTAGACAAGGAGATAAGCATACAAGAAGCTGAACAGAACCAAACAGGGCAGATCCCAAAAGAAAATCACCGAACATATCATAATCAAACTTTCCAAAACCAAAGATAAGAATCCTGAGAGTAGCTCAGGAAAAACAAAAGGTTAACTACGAAGGAGAACCAATAAGACTAAACTCAGGTTTCTCAGCAGAAATCATGTAGGCAAGAAGGCAATGGGATGACATATACAAAACTCAGACAGAAAAAACAAAAACAAACTGCTAATCAAGAATCATATACCCAACAAAGCTGTCCCTCAAATACAATGGTGAAATTAGGATATATTCTGATAAACAAATGAAAGGAATTTGTAATAATAAGATTAACTTTACAAAAAAATGCTAAAGGGTGTTTTTTGGAATGAGAACCAACAATAACCTGTTATCATGCATGACAACACCACCTAGAACTCAAAACAGATATGTTGTTGTTGTTAAGTTGTTTCCAACCCACAGCGACCCTGTATAGGATTTCCAAGGAGCGGCTGTTGAGCTCGAACCACTGACTTTGTGGTTCAAATGACCTTGTAGTCCAGCACATCAGCCCACAGTGCTACACCAGGACAATACATATATAGAAGTATCTAAAGTAAAACAAACCTATAAGACTAAAAATATCAATTTAATGAAGTCTACTACAAAACAAATAGAATAGTGTAGATAGAACTTCTAAATGGCAAGGAAGTCAAATAGATTTCAAGATAAAACAGACTGTTTTAAATAGGAAAAGTTTAAATTAATAGATAACAGGATAACCTCAAATAAAATTAATATATCTGCACATCAAAATAAAGAAAGAGGAAAATCAGCAAGATTTAGCAAACATTAACACACCAGAAATGAAAATGAAAAGTTTTTGAAAATAAGTTCTAAACCAAAATTAACTCGGCACAGAAAATTATGTGGAACAAAGAAACCAATAGCACCACACACAAAACATACACACACAGCAAAATGACAGCAATCAATTTATACCTATCGAGAATTACACTGAATGTAAACGGATTAAATGCACCACTCAAGAGACAGAGCAGAATGGATATGAAAACAGGATCCTTCAATATGCTATCTACAAGAGACATATCTAAAAGATGGAGACAGCCTAAGTGCCAAGCAACAGAAGAATGGTTAAACTTTGGTGCATACACACAATGGAATACCAAGCAACATCAAAGAATAATGATGAATCTGCAAAACACCTCACGACATAGGTGAACCTGGAGGACATTGTAATGAGTAAAATCAGACAATCAGAGACTCAAAACATGTGCATTAAAAACATCAATAGGATTGACTCTCCCAAAGATACAAGAGTAGTCACTTACAGGACCAAGCCTAGAACTCAGCTCTTTCCACACTTCTTCCTTCAAATCCCATTATCTTCTCACTACTTTTTTTGCCAATCAACATTTAATGCTTACTAAATAAAAACTAAGATAGTAATAGAGTTGTGATGTGACACTGTAGTATAAGCACTGGACTGTTAACCACAACATCTGCAGTTCAAGGTCACCAGCTACTTCTTGGGAACCCTATCTATACAGGGTCACTGTTAGTCAAAACCGCCTCAAAAGCACACAACAGCAACAAGATAGTGGCAAGCTTCAAATTTTTATTTCAATACGACTTTACAAAAGCTGTCAAACATTTCATAACTTTTGGTGAAGCAAATACAAAGGGCCTTCAGAAAGTTCATGGAAAAATGGAATTAAAAGCTAATGTAATTTTTCTACAAACTTTTGAAACCCGCTAATATACTAAGCAAACTACTCCTAGTCTCAGATTCTTTACCAAGAGATGGGAATAATAATACCTACTTTATAAAGTGATTGTAAGGATTAAATAATTTAAATCACATTCTTCACTAATCAAGAAATAATACCGTTCTCTGGTAGCGTAGTGGTTACGAATCGGGCTGTGAACATCAAGGTCAGCAATTTGAAACTACCAGTAGTTCCATGGGAGAAAGATGAGGTGTTCTGTTCCCGTAAAGATTTACATCCTCGGAAACCCTGTGCAGGGTCACTATGAGTTGGAACCGACTCCACGGTACTTAACAACAACAGCTATAGTCTTGGTGTGGTATTGTGGGTTAATGCTCTGGTCTGCAAAGTCAGGAGTTCAAACTTACCAGCTGCTCCTCAGAAAATCTGTCATGGTTGTTATGGGTCAGAACTGACTTGATGGCACTTAACAACAACACTATAGTTGTGGAGTCCTGGTGTGGTGCAGTGGGATAAAGCACTGGACAGCAAGGTTGGTTTGAACCACAAGGTTAGTGGTTCAAACTCACCAGCCACTCCTTGGAAACCCTATACAGGGTCACTATGAGTTGGAATTGACTCAGTGGCACTTAGCATCAACAACAACTATATTCTAAGCATCTAAGTTACTTTTAAACCTATTTTTATATGAAGGATGAAAGAAAGCTGAAATTCCGAAGTTTAAAATATGGATGGAATCTGAGCAATTCTTAATGAGATAACAAAGAATATCATCAACTCATACCTTATCATTATCTGTCATGGCCAATGCCTGCTGGTGTTTCTGGTAGAGTAGGTGTCTTCTGTCAGGTCTGATCTTAAAATGTGACTTCTTTTTAACTGGATCTTCAAGTTCAAATCTTGGTGAACTGGTGTCCAATAGTTGTGAAATATTTGGCACAAATATGAAAGGCTTAAAAACAGATCTAGAAGAAAGAAACTATTAAATTGGTATGATGGGCTATAAAATATACTAGGCATTATTTTAAGGAGTCCTGGTGTGGAGCTGTGGGTTAATGCACTACACTGCAAAGTCAATTTGAACTGCAAGGTTTAAGCTCACCTGTCACTCCTTGGAAGCCCTCTAGAGAGGGTCACTATGGGTCAGAGCTGACTTGACAGCACTTAACAACAACAACAATATTCCCTCTAGTTAAAAGTTTTTGTTAATGGTGCTCCATACTAATTTGTTCCTGTCACACCTGTCTTCCGTGGTACACTGGGACCTCCTTTGCGGCAGGAGACTGATTACATTTTATGTGGCTTTATATTCCCATATATTTAACAGAGGGCCTAACAAAAACATTTCAGTGAAGTCAGTTTGCCAATTATCTTTAATTCCATTTTTCCACTGCACAGTTCACACTTGGAAGTGCTGTTAGAACAGAAATGTTAAGTGGGTGGCTTTAACAACTCATAACTTATTTTCTCACAGTTTAGGAGGCTAGAGGTCCAGATTCAGGGCACCAGCACTAAGGGAAGGCTTTCTCTGTCAGCTCTAAGGGAGAGTCCTCATTTCTTCAGCTTCTATTTCCTAGCCTTGGAGATTTCCATGTAGCGTGGCATCCATCTTCCCTCATCTCTACTTGCCTAAGAGGCTTCTTTCATATTGACTGTAAGACTTGTACAATTGACTTAAAACACAAAAGACAACACATTCCTGATTTACAATACAGATTTGGGGAGGTCACAATTTAATCCATAACAGAGGGCAAAAATACTTCCCACTGTTAGATTGAGCATTAGAATTTGGGATGAAGATGAGCAGCAGTGCTAATTAGAGGGACACAGATTTCATCCCGTTTCCTTGGCAATATCTCTAATATGAAAGACTGTAACACTAAGACATAATGAATATATAATAATTTCTAAATGTAATGTACCTCAAATTTTGTGAGCGATACTAATGGCCAGACACTTAAGTCAAGGTGATAAAGATATCTATACAAACCCCTTACTTAAGATACGAGGGGGCTTTAAAAGGTCATGGGAAAATTCTATTATCTTTTAATTCCATTTTTTAAAATGAACATTTTGAAGACCTCTCATATAACTGAATTATAGATAGTTTAAGTTTTACCTGTATGTGTTTTTCTAGATATGAGTGAAATGTAAATCTAGCACAACTATATTATATAATCTTTTTTTACTAATTGTTATCAATCACCTAATATATTATAACATTTGGGATCTGAATTTGAAAACAGTACTTAATTTTTTTCTTGACAATGTGAAATAATTTTGGAGGAAAAGGGAGTATAGGATAACTGCATATAAGAAACTGAACATTTTCTTCCCATAAAAGAAGAGTTATGACTGCTATTCACACCTGAAAATGGCAGACTTAAGGCTAAACAGAAAATGCATCCAAAAGCTATTGTCCTATCCCTGTGATAAAAATTGAGCCTGGCAAAATCAACACACTAGTGATTCTACCCCTACTCCCCGGCCCCTTGCTGGTTTATAATATTTTGTGACTTTACCTCTCAGGATGAGGGGTCCCTGTAAAGAAGTGAATACAAGGAAGACTGGTGTCTTGAGGTAAAATAGAAACCATGCTTGCAGTGGTGAGGAATTGTCCTTCCATATTAATACCACTTGGTTTATCTCGGAGAATTTCCATCATTGTTTCACAAGTTATGTTTCCTAGGGAAATCATTTTGAAAATCACCAAACATATGCATATATAGACACCCTGCAAACACAAACTGCTTTCTCTGATGATAACATATACCATGAAATACTGGTCATTGTATAAATAAGAGACTGCCCATAAACAAATCTTGTTATAAGAACTGCAATTAGACTCATTCCACTGTCACAAGGCAGATAGTTTTTAGCAATAGAAAACATGCAATGTCTTCAAACCATTGCAACATGGAAAATCCATATGACTTCTACAGAAGAAAGCAACAATGAAGCAATGCTCTAATTAGACCCTACTGCCCTTACAGAACTTATATGTACTGTGGAGTCGGTTCCGACTCATAGCGACCCTGTACAGGGTTTCCTAGGATGTAAATCTTTACTGGAGCAGAAAGCCTCATCTGTCTCCTGCGGAACAGCTGGTAGTTTCGAACTGCTGACCTTAGGGTTCGCAGCCCGATTCGTAACCACTACGCTACCAGAGCTCCTCATTAAACAGCATTTAATTAGCAAAGGAAGGAGCTCTGGTTATGAGTTGGGCTGCTAACCTCAAGGTTGGCAGTTCAAAACTACCAGCCATTCTGCGGGAGAAAGGTAAGTCTTTCTGCTCCCGTAGATTTACAGCCTCGAAAACCCTATGCAGGGTCACTATGCGTCGGAACTGACTCCCCGGCACACTACCACCACCACTAGTTATGATGCAGTGGTTAAACATTCAGTTGCTAGCCAGTTTTATACATATACAAGTACCAAAGTTTCTTCCAGCAACACCAACGGTTCTTAGTCACATGCTATCATCTTTGCGGCACACTCTGTGTATCCTTCTGATGCTTCCATCAATGACCTCAGGTGAGTGGAAGGGTGGGAGAGTGCAGACAGCACCGGGTGACACTGTCAGAGGGAGTGAAGCCAAATTCATTTTTTAAATTAAAATATCCCTATAGTTTGTTATGGAGTCCTGGTGTGGCGCTGTGGGTTAATGTGCCAGACTTGCAAAACTGTTTGAACTGCAAGGTTGGCCGTTCAGGCTCACCACCTGTTCCTTGGAAATCCTATACAGGGTCACTATGAGTCAGAATCGACTCAACAGCACTTAACAACATAGTTATTATATATATATATATAATATGTTGTTGTTAAGTGCTGTCGAGTCGGTTTCAACCCATAGCAACCCTGTACAGGGTTTCCAAGGCTGTAAATCTTTATGGGAGCAGAATGCCTCATCTTTCTCCCGCGGAGCTGCTGGTAGTTTCGAACTGCTGGCCTTGAGGTTCACAGCCCGATTCGTAACCACTACGCTACTATATATATATATATATCCGAGAGGTTAGCAGTTGGAACCCACCAGCTGCTCTGCGGAAGAACGAGGTGGCAGTCTCCTTCCCTAAACGTTTTTGCCGTGGAAACCCTATGAGAGAGTTCTATGCCCTGTGGTGGTTGGTGGTGGTTGTGGTATGCCGTGAGTTGGTTCTGACTCATAGTGACTCTGTTTAGTGTTTCTGAGCCTGTAAATCATTAAGGGAGCAGAAAGCTTCGTCTTTCTCCCATGGAATAGCTGGTAATTTCGAACTGCTGATTTTAAGATTAGCAATCCGACTCGTAACCACCACGCTACCAGAGCTCCTGTAGCATGCTATAAATCAGAATTGAATCAATGGCCATGGGTTATTTAGTTAACAATGAGTCCACAATTTCAAGAACGATGGTCTGAGTCTTTTTATTCTGAAAACCAAATGCCAATAAAGAAAACTGTGGTTAGTTTCTAATACTATGCAAAGTGTTCTTTATAAAATAGCAAATTATTTTTCCTAGCTCTGGTAGCATAGTAGATTATGAGCTGAGTTGCTAACCACAAAGTCAGCAGTTCAAATCTACCAGCTGCTCCATGGGAGAAAGATGAGGGTTTCTGCTCCTGTAGAGATTTATAGCCTCAGAAACACTATACAGGGTCACTGTGAGTCGCAACCAATTCCATGGCACATCACCACCAACAACATAATTTCTGTGGAATCCTGATGTATTGCTGTAGGAAAAGCACTGACAAGGTCAATTTGAACCACAAGGCTGATGGTTCAAGGCCACCAGACACTCCTCAGAAACCCTATACAGGGTTGCTATGAGTCAGAACCAACTCAATGGCACATAACATTTCCTATGCCTGACATTAATAATTTTATATGAAAATGTAAATTGTAACCTGAGTAGGAATGAAGGAGACAAAGTACATTATTGGTTAATGGGGTCTGTAAATTCATAATTCTACTGGTCTATTATTTTTTTTCCCAACTTTATTGTTAAGGTTTACAGAGCAGATCATCAGTTTACTTTCAACAATCACACACTTAGTTTCATCTCAATAACTGTAGCCCCCTCCATGTAAAGACGGTTATCCTGCTTCCTCCCTGTGGTTGCTGTTTCCATTCCACCCATCTTCCCATCTCTTCTCACTGTGTCCTTAGGTAAATGTTGTCCTTTTGATCTTGAATGATTGACCATTCCATGGTGAGCATACCTTACTAGTGTTGGTGTTCCCCCTCTAGACCTCTCTACTGCTTGGTTGAAAACTGGCCTATTTTTAAAAGTTTAAACATTGAGTTATGCATAACAAAAATGAATAGCATTATATTCTGCTTTCATATGTAAATTTCCCTTATTTTAAGGTTGTTTTTTTTTTTTCCCACCAAAACATTAAAAAAAACTGATTATGCCATCAGAGAGTGCTGCTTCTTGTTGTGCTTATCCACAGTCAAAGCTGGGGTTCAGGACCTAACTGCCTTATGACAAAATAAAACAGTCTTAACCCTTACTCCAATCTAGTCCTCCAGAAGTAGTCAAGCAGCTTCTTTTCACAAGTCAGAACTCTCTTTTCCAAAATTTATGATTTTTAATCCTCCTGAATCAAATGAAAACTCCTTCAATACCACCCACTACTAATTTGGTCTTCCTTTCCTAATGGCTTTCATCTCTGGTTTACTCTCTGATTTCTACTCTACAAATAAATAAACTTACATGAGGCTAACCTCATGCCCCTACCTCAACTGAATGATCTTTTTCTTCTCCAAGTATAAGCATTCTCTTGGCCTGTCTATATTGGTCCTAGCTCTGCCATTACATTATAAATATCCAAAGATAAGGATGAGACTAATTACTCAATCACTTAACAAATATATACTGAACACCTGATAAGTGCCTGGCATGGTGATATGGATATATATGAGGGGACTATTTGTCAGATGGCGGACTAAGCAATTAGGCTACTTAGAGACTCTACAACAAAGATACAAGAGACTCCATGACACAGGTACAGATGATCATCCTAGATCCCTGAGCTTCTGAGGAAAGGACAGAGATGTGGACTGAATACTGACTAGGAAAGGAAGCTGAACAGGATGGGGAGAGAGAGATACAATGAACTGTCAGTTAGCCTGACTCTGCATGGCTATCTTGAGTTTTGTGAGCAGCACTGGCTACAGACAGCAGCCTCATGGTATAGATGCAATGAGAGAGGGGCAATTCTCTCTTGTTCCCAACACTCTCCTGGTGACCAGAGGTATTGCCAGCACCCATCCTCACCAACCCGCTACACAACCCCTTGCTCTGCCAGAGGTCAGATCCACACCACTGTGAGTCTGGCACTGGATGCACCACTCCAGAACCTGGAGGTGTGTGAGTTCTGCCTCTTCAAACCAGCAGAATACACAATGCCAGTCCCCAGCCAACTCTGAACAAGCATGAATTCCCATAACCAGCTGTCCCACACCCAGCTGCCTTCTGAGTCTGAAAGAGTTCCCTCTGGGAACAAGACCCTGACCTCAGCCACCTTTAGGGTCTGCAGGAACTACTTCCAGATTAGATGCCCTGACCATGCACAACATCTAGGTCTACAGGAACTTCATCTAGGGCCTGACATGCCACTCTCTCACCCTTCCCACTTCATGAGCTCCTTGGCTGGCAGAGGGTGCCAACCCATACCAGGCACCCTGCCTTCCCCTGTTTTATTTTTTCCTTTGTCTCTTTCTTTCTCCCACCCATTGTTTTTATACTTTCTTTCTCTGTTTTATTTCTTGTTTCTCTTTTCTATTTCCCCCTTCTTTCTTTTTTTCCTCTTAATTTTTCTTCACTATTCTTTTTTCATTCTTTTTGTCATCCCTCCCCTAGTTTTGTTCATTGCATTTTTTTGTTTATTTTCTCATCCCTTCTTTTATTTCTCTTTCTCTTTTCTCTCTGCTTGGTTATTATTTTTTCTTGCTGCTGACTGTTAGTTTTGTTGCCTTTTTTATTGCTGCTTATTATTTTCTCTCTCTTTTTTTTTTTTCCTATTCTTTGTTTCTCTTGTTTCTTTTCTCCTTACCCCACCTGATGAGAAACAGGCACTGTGCCCATACAGCCCAGCTACAATCATAACCCCTGCAAGAAGCACTACTGGCTCCTATGCCATCTGATCAAATACAGACAGCGGTCAACATCAGCCAATCCCACTCTCAATTATACTACATTAACAGTAAACAGAGAACTGTGCACACATATCTATTCTCTAACACAACCATCAGGAAGGTAGGCAAGTGGTGAGTATCTAAGAACACACCAACATACAATCCTTAACTAAATACAAATAAAATGACATCACAATGTAAAAAGAGGGAATAGAGGTAAATACTGTTAGCCAATGGTGCATGTAATCATTGCAATTAAACAAAATATGATTGTTTGAGTGCCAAACTGATAATCTTTCCTGTAAACTATCACTCAATTCACAACAAAAACTTGAAGAAGAAAAAAAAGTGACACCACATCTTGGAGACATTCACAAAAAGAAACAAGACAGAGTAGCTCAAACAAGGGGCTAAAATGTAGAGACAAGAAACATTTCTAGGTAAGAAAAGGAATTGGAACTTTTCTGATAAAGAATCCAAAAGAATGATATTTAGGCACCTTAACCAGATTGAGAGAAAGATCAAGAAAGCTACAGATGAAAGCAAGGAGAACAAAGAAAAATATTT